CGTTGATTAGTATTATAATTTTAAAAAACTCAAACGCGGGACAACGATGGGTTTTTCCAGCTCACATTTCCACACAATCTAACAATGACAATGAAAGTCATTTTCTTTTACAATTTCAAACGCAAACGCAAAACGTTTTTGACAAATTCAAACAAGTTATTGCAAATCGAAAATGTGTTTTACCTTTGACAAACCCAAAGGCGGCAACGGCTCCGGATTTAAGATGACTATCATCCAAGTCTCTTCTAACTGCATACCTAAATGTGACTCCAAACAACGCGCAGCTTGCAAACGCTATTCCTAAGGGAAGAAGAAGCTGCTCGACGCTCGAGACTTGAGAAAGCGCAAATGGGAGTTCTGCAAGAGTTCCAACCGCGGCTGCTATCGCTCCCGCTTTCGCTGATTCTAGTCTCTCTTTGTCTTTATCAATCGAATAACCGTTCTCATCAGCAATGTCCTCGGCCTCTGCTAAGGACAGGGAACGTTCTGCTTCCTCAACCATTGATCTTGCTGCGACAATCTCTTGCTGGCATTCTGCGATCTTAAATAAGGTATCGAATAAGATGAACATGATTTTGTCTCTCTTCTTATTAAAGAAACAAACATAGCTTCATTTCAAAGGAATTTGATGGCAGAAAAAACCTGAACTTGCACTGTCTACACAATCGAGCTGAAAGACTATTTTCGACAACCCGAGAGTAAAAAATGATACCAAATTCATGTTTTAGAGTAACCTCAACTAATGAATTATCTTCACACAAACTAAGAGCAAACCCATTTCAAGGTTTCAAGCACATAAAGCAACACCAAAGATAGTGACTAAAACACTGAAACAAACTTGAACCTATCTTCATGAGACAATGCCCAAATTCACTGTTTTCGATTGAATTTAAACTAACCCTATATCCGAAAATCAAATGTTTCATAATCTCATATCTACACGAATTCCAGAAGAAACTAACCTCTGATGCTCTTGATTCGAGCTGATTAACATAAACCTGTAGCAATTTCGCCTCGATTTCTTGCCTCTCTATCTCTTCGAGCTCTCTCTTGGCAACCTCCACTCTCATCGAAGCTTTTTCCAGACCATCGAGCAAACCCTTGTTCTCTTCTCTGTTCAAAAGCTCCTCCACTCGATTTCCGACAATTCCGGACAGAGAATTCTTCAAATCTCCGGAGTCACTTGAGTTTGCTACACTCTCCTCTTCCGGTGAGCTTCTGATTCTCCAGTTTCGAGTTTTCCGATGATGAGAATTCAGCGAGTTCACTTGGAAATTGAGTTGTTTAGGATTCAGTGTATGAATTTCAGATAAAATCATTGGATTTGTTGATTTCCATGGAAGCGATTGTAGAGATAAGCATTGCATTTTG